TTGTGGCACTTGGGGACTGGCGGATTGGCATTGCAGAGTATTGCTATTAACAGTTTGGTTGCTGGGGCATCCTGTATAACAGGCTTAGGTTGCAAGGAACTCTGGAATGCCCCCTGACTGTGAATGGTGGTTGCCATGGCATTGTGGCTGGGAGAATGTGGTTGCTACGTTATGTGGTTCTCTCCACACAGTGGTTAACAGAGTGTAGCTGTCCAGTGTTGTGGGTGGTAGGAAGTGGTTGCCACAGCACTGTGGGTAATGGAATGCGGTTGCCATGGTGGCTGGGTAGGAGACCGGTAGCCACAGTAGTGCTGCTTGCAGTAGGGTGCCCTGCACCCTGGACAGAGTGGGGTTAGGCTGTGGACCACAGAAGCTCATCATTATGAGCCAGGGGTAAGGGCTGAGTCATTTCTTCCCCCGCGCTTGTAGTCACCAGGGACATGATGACCCCTAACCGCATCCCTGCCCCTCGGCCCCCAGGACACCCCTCGTGTTTACAGTTCACGGTGAACATGACAGCGGCCGTTCGGACCTACCGCTGGCAGTGCATCGAGTGCAAGTCCTGCAGCCTGTGTGGCACCTCGGAGAATGATGTGAGTGCCCTGCCCCCACCTCCCCAGGACATATCCCATTGGCCTCCCCACTTGGCACCTCCGCCTTTGCCGGTTGGGACTAAAGCCTTTTCCTGGAGCCCCCTTGCTGGTGACCACTAGTAACCTGTATTATTATTATTGTTAGTGGCCATTCATTGAGCCTGGTACTTAATACTTTTCATCTTTCTGACTCCTCCCAACCACCCTCTGAGGCAGGTGCCTGTGTTCCCACTTCACAGAGAGGGGAAATAACTTGCCCAAGGTCAGCCAGCTAGGGAAATGGCATAGCTGGGGCCTGAACCCACGTCCACTGTTTTTGGAGCTGGTATCAGGCCATCTCAGTGTCATTTTAAGTGTTCCATAAGATATGGTAAAGCCTGCACTACAGATTGCCAACTTACAGTGCTCAGGGGTGTTTTGCTCGGCTAAGCAGGGTTTTCGAAGATTCTGTGGCCCAGACCTCTGGGAGCCCTTTCTTTCAGAAGGGCCCACCTCCCCCAGTCCCTTTGACTAGCCCCTGCCCCAGCCCCTCACCCCGATATCTAGTGCCTGTGCTCCCAGGGTGCCAACCGGGCAGGTCTCAACCCCCCAGGACCAGCTGCTGTTTTGTGATGACTGTGATCGGGGTTACCACATGTACTGCCTGAGCCCCCCCATGGCGGAGCCCCCGGAAGGTGAGAGAAGAGGTGGGCATGACACTGGGGTGGGTGGGCTAGAAAGTTGTCTTCTTGCTGGTGAAGACCTTGCCCTCTGGATAGGAGGGGCTGAGCAGCCCTCCCTGGACCTGGGCCTAACTCCCTGTCCTCTGGCCACCCCACAGGGAGCTGGAGTTGTCACCTGTGTCTTCGGCACCTGAAAGAGAAGGCCTCTGCCTACATCACTCTCACCTAGGCCTGGCTCTGGCTCACCTGGACCTCTGGGGTGGTGCTTGCCCATCTGCCTCTCAGAGCTCCTCTACTCTCTTCTCATCCTTAATGTGCCACAGTGGGAAGGGGTGCGGGAAGCCTGAGAGGAGGCTGGGCCACCCCCTTCCCTCTGTGCGAGTGGAATGTTTGCCCTGCGGGTTGGTGGGCCCAGCAGGGCTCCTCTCTATTCCTCCCTCTTTCCCCATCCCTTGGCAAATGGGCACCAGGGGCTTCTGCTCCCCTCAAAGCCATACCCCGCCTCTGGGCGGGCATGAGGGGTGGTGGATGCCAGCCCAGGGCCTGGACCCAGCCTTTTTCTAAAGAAAAAATCAAAAAGTTAAAAAAAAAAGAAATTAATATATACAGAATCCTATAAGGCCTGGCTGGGTGAGGGGGCACTGCTGAGTGAGTCCACAGGGCACCAGTCTATACCAGTTTCCTGCCTGGCAACCCCTCCCCCCAGTTTTGGAGCTGCAACTACCCCACTTCCCGTCCCCAGGTGGGCACCATTCCCCACTCTTGCCCAAGGCAGATGGGTGTGGTGCCCACCCTTTATCCCCTCTTGGTGCCCATTGTGGATACTGCATGATGTTGAACTGTGGCTTTGAAATCTGTTCCTGCCCCTTCCTGAGAGCCCCACCCTGTCTGCCACCACCACAAGTGTTACTGGTGGGGCAGGCGGGCCCCTGCCCAGCGCCTGCTGGGATGAGAAGCACAGACTCTGCAATGGACTAGTTTTTCCTCCTCCCCTGCCCCATCCCCACCGGCCTGGCCGGGCTACCCCTGCCCCCTTACTGGCCATATTGAGGGTAACAAGGGGGAGTGGTTATTTCTTGTGGTTGTGTATGTTTATTGTTCGGGTTAAAAAAAGGGAAATTGAGATTGCAAGTGGATGAGGTTGTGGATTTTGGGGGCCTCCCCCAATCCAGGCATGCCCCCCCTTGTAAATGAGTCTCCTTTATTGCCTGCCTCTGCTGTGAATTAAATTGTTCTGTGTATTAAACTGGGCCTGACCCCTCTGCCACGACTACCTCCTTCTCCAGGCTGGTTTGGGGCGTCACCAAGAAGGGGAGCTGGGGCCTCATTTGGGGGAGAAGAAACAGAGGTTAACAGCTGGAGCTGGCTCCTACCTCCATCTCCCCCCTGTACCCCGCCTTTCTCTGGCTTTGTCCCACCTCCTCACTGCCTTGGCAGAAGGAAGAGGGGGGATGGGGTGGAGGGGGCTCCCGCCCAGCCAGCTGTGGTTGTCCTGGCAACGGACTACTGCAGCTGCAGCAGAAAGCTGAGAGGAGGAAGGCGGGGAACTGGGGGCTGGGGGAAGGGAAGGGATGAACAGATGAAGCTGGTCAGCCCCTCCTGGGCTGGGGTAGAGGGCAGGGTGCCAGGAGCACCTCATCCTAGTACCAGACATCACCTGGGGCTTCCTGTATGGGGCCAAGAGCGGAGGGGAAGGAGCAGGAGAGAGAAAGATAGGGACATAGGGACACTAGGAGGCTGAGATTTGGATGAGGTGGGTTGAGGAGAGGGAACCAAGGAAAGAGTGCTTAGGAGAGAGACATAGATATGAGAATCACAAATTTATAGAGAATCAGAAAAAAGACAGCAGGAGAGAGCAGAAGAGGGAAGCAAAAAAAAAATCTAGAGATACAGATGAGGAGAGCCACAGGAATTATGGGGAAAGAGAAGAGATGGAGATTTAGTGGGAGAAAAAATAATAAAAAATAGACATGTTGGGGAGAGACAGGAAGAGGAAGTAGACAGTGACTTGGAGAGAGAAGTAGAAGAGAGATTTGATGGGGGAGGCAGAGAACCAGGGCACATAAAATAGGAGAGAAAAAGAAGAAGAGAGGCACGTTGGGGAGAGAGATACAATTAGGATCCAGGTACAGGTAAAATCTCAGCACAAGGACACAGGAGATGAATGAGATTTCATGGGAGAAAAGGACACAAAGAATTTAATGGGACAATAGAAAAACTGTGAGAGAGACAAAGGTATGAAGGGATTCAGACTGGGTGAGGAGAAAGCCAGAGATGGGGTGGGAGAGACTAGGGGAGGCTCCAAAGGGCGCCTGTAGGAGAAACAGGAGGATGAGGCAGACATTGAAATCGGGCAAAATGGGAAAGGGACAAGCAGGGCACAGTTCAGGCGAGAGCGAGGGCTGGCAAGTGCATGTGTGAGTTGTGGGGTGTTGGAAGTTGGTGTGTCACAGGCGCCAGGAGGAGATGTGAGAACAGCTTGTTCCACTGTTCCCTGGTGGGGGGAGGGCAGCTCGGTTGAGGATGGGGCCTCAAGGAGGGCGGGGAAGGGAGTTTCTGGAACACTAGAATTTTTAGGAGATGTGAAAATAGCTGGTCCACCTCCTCTGGAAAAAGGCTATGTACACGTTTTGGAAAAGTTTTTGTGTGTGGTGAGGGAAGGGTCTGGGTTAAAGAGACATCGGGTTTGACTCAGAGACAGGGAAATGGGTGAGGTGGGCCAGAAAGACCCAGCCACCTGGCCAACCCTGCCAAGAGGGTCGGGCTGATCTCAGAGCCAGATGGAGGCCAGACTTTGGGATCTTCATGTGGAATTTTGAGATTTGGACTGTGGTCTCTGGGTCAAACTGTAAGGGTTTGCAGATCTGGGGCCCAGAGTTCACGGCCCCTCCCCAGATGGGAGTCCCCAGAGAAAGGCCTTGGCCAGGGGAGGTCACAGGGATGTGTCAGTCTTTCCTTGACACCTCCAGCTCACTGTGCCTGGCACCACCCTTCCCCACATTGGGTGGATGGGGTGCCAATAAGCCCAAGCTGGGGGAGTGGGAGGGAGTGGCCTGGGTGACTGCCTGGGCAGAGGAGGCGTGGGTGGCCCTTAAAGGACAGATTTACCAAGCTGGAAATCTGGCTTTCTTTTTGTTCAATCTCGATTTTTAAAAGTTGCCCACTAATTCTAAAACTAACACAACTTTGTGGGCTGGGCCTTGCTTTCAGGCATTTACTAGTAGTATGTGACTTCTGAGGTAGAATCTCCCTCTTTTTATTTAAAAAAAATATATATATTTCTTTATTTCAGAGAGGAAGGGGGAAGGAGAGAGAGATAGAAACATGAGTGATAAGAGAATCATTGATAGGCTGCCTCCTGCACGTCCCCCACTGGGGATCGAGCCCGCAACCCAGGCATGTGCCCCTGGCCGGAATCGAATCCGGGACCCCTCAGTCGGCAGACCGACACTATCCACTGAGCCAAGCTGGCCAGGGCAACTCCCTCTTTTTAACTTAAGAAGGACTTTTACGTTCTGAGTGGTGGATTTCTGTCATTTGGGTTTCAAGGAAAAAATGTTTGCAAGGTTGGTGTCCCCTGGTACTTAGGGAAGAGTGTGTGTGTGTGTGTGTGTGTGTGTGTGTGTGTGTGTTCGCGCACGCACGGTGACTGTTTGGGACAAGGGGAACACAAGGGGGGGCTGATGCTGGACCACCTCTCATCAGTGACCCCAGGCAGCTGCCCAGCTAGTGAACACACAGACCATTTCTATGAAACATTTATTTTCTTTGAAACCTCCAGAAACATGCCAGAAAATCTCAAAACAGGGATAGAAAAAAGACAAAAAAGAATAAAAAAATCCAAATGAAACAAATCATACAAAAAACCCCAAACCAAATCATGCTTCTATCTTACCCATCAGATAGAACACCAGCTTCAAATTAAATAGATTTGTTTTGCAGAGATCCTTAAAAAATAACAGAAAACCAAAAATCATAATTTACACTTGTCAATGTACACGATTAGGTCCCCAAAATGATTAGAATGATCTGAAGTTGAGGTGACAACTTAAAAGCGAGGGGTTGGGGAGGCACGGGCTCCAGCCTAGGGTCTGAAGAAAGGGGGTGGGGAGGTCTTGGAGAACCTGTCCAAAATGGGGGTCTGGGAAGAGGAGTGGAGACATCACAGTAGTTGGCCAGGGCTGGGGACCGGGCAGGCCCCCTGCAGCCTGTCTCACACCACAGCCCAGGTGAGGACGAGGAGGTGGCAGATGTGCAGGCTTTGTCACAGGCAGCAGTGCTGCCAGGGGCCAGGGCTGACTGCAGGGGGACATGGTCAGTGTCTTTTTCTCCGGCTTCCTGAATGCCTGTGTCTCAGCACCCCCTTCCCTGAGGTTTCTGGTCCCAAAGAGAAGGCGGTGAGGTCTCTGGACAAGGACCGGGCCACTGGTGCTGGCTCCCAGCCCGGAGCTGCAGTTCTGAGCCAGGCCCGCGCGGCTCCCCTGGTCTGGTGATTCCTGAAAAGGAAAGACATGGGCCTGCCCACCCTCACTTTGTCCCTCTTAGTCTTCCTGCTGAACACCAGCCACAGGGAACTGGCCTCAATCCTCAGCTTGAAGTTGGGGGAATCCACAGATTGTGGCCATACAGGCTTGTTCTGGCACAACTCTACATGAAAAAATAAATATATATATGTGTGTATGTATATATATATTTGTTTGTTTTTAAAGGGAAAAAAGAAACTCTGTTTCCTGGGTGAACAGCGTAGTGTCACACCAGCTCGCTGCCTGGCAAGCTGCTCCTTATTGCCGTTAGAGGACCAGCGTCTCAGGGGGTTCCCACAGCAAAGGCTTCCGGGGAGCACAGTGAGGGTGGCCCAGAATCCACTGCTGTGGGGGCTACAAGGTGGGCTGAGGGACTTGCAAACACAAAACAAAAGCAGAGAGATGAAGGCTGTTTCTCTCTAGTGAGGGTGGGCAGGCCTATGTGACCTGGGGGTTCCCTGGAGCCCCTCCTGGTGCCTGGAAGAGGCCGTGGCTGCGGGGTCAGGGCTGGGGGGCTGGGCAGCTCTGCGGCTGGGCCTGGCCGGGCAGGAGCTCAAATCGAACGTGGAGGGGCTCAGGCACGATGGCCTCTGTGGCTGAAAGAAAAAGACTCTAAACGGTGTGCAAATAGTTTCCCCCTCAAAGCACATGACTCTGGATGTTTGAGTTTCCCCTCTCTAGCCTGGGACCCCCCAAGAAATAATTGAAACTCTAAGAATGTGCTCCTGGATGTTTTTGAAATATGGGGTTGGGAGGGGGTGATGTCCGTGCTTCCTGGCGCTCGTGCAGGAAGGAGAGCCTTGGCCTGTTTCCACATGAGCCCTGATCTCTCCAGGGTGGGGCAGATTGGGCCGGTTCACACTGTGATTTCTCATGCAGGGGGCTGGGCCCCACAAGCCAAGCCCAAACTCTTGTACGTGGTGAAGAAACTTGGTTTATGAACGCCTGGAGCTGTGGAGTTTAGAGACTCACTACTGCCCTCCCTCTTTCCTTCCTATAGCTTTGATGTCTAGATCCTAGGAAGAGACAGGATGCCCCCCCCCACCCCACCCCCCGCAGGATGGGCCCTTGGGGGTAGAGTGGGCAAGGGCCCCGCCCCAGGGACCAGAGGTGAGCAGTTCCAAGGGAGGCTTGAGGCCCTGCGGCCTGCTGGGGCTCGAGAACCATGAGCAGACCCTACCTCACAGCCCCGGAGAGTTTCTGTGTCTAAGGGGAGTGTGGTGGGGTCCTAGCTGGATGATCTTGGTCACACCTGCAACCAGGAGCTGAGCTAAGGGAGAGAGGAGAGCAGAAGCCCCCACCCACCCAGGTGGGGGTGTGAGGCGGCCTCTCCACCTCAGAGTTCCTTCTTCTCCCTGCAGAAGATCTCAGCGAACTTGCGCAGCTGCTCACTGGCGGCCTGTGACTCCTCCTGCAACCGCTGGTTGTTCTGACGCAGGCTGGCCACCTCCGACTGCAGCACTGCCTTGTCCTGCTTCTCCTGCAGGGTGGGGTGTGGGCATCAGCAGAGTGGTCTAGCCAAGGGCTCCCTAGGGCCTGTGAGCCCTGGCTCAGCTGTGCTTTAGAGCTGGGCTGCCAGGTGCAAAGCCCAGCTCTGCTTGTTCACAGCTGAGTAACCCCGGGGAAGTCACTTCATCTCTCTGAGACCAATAGCCTCAACTCTAAAAAGGGGTGGCTGCGAGCTTTCCCTATGGTCATTTATGTGGAGCTTTCACAACACAGCGTGATGTTGGGTGATAGTCTGACAAACCTCACTGTGATTATTATCACCTCATTTCACCCTCAGCCACCCAGGGTGTTGGGAAACCCAGCCCCATACAGCAAGGGGGAGCTGGGTATGGACTCAGGGCTGCCTCTCCCGGGACACCCTTCCAGGATCCTTCACATCCAGAGGCGGCAACTCGTCCAAGGTCACATGAGGTGCTGGGGTGAGATCTGAACCAGAGCTCCTGTGATTTCTGTGCTCGAGACTCACAGTATATGCTGCCTTTTACCCCAAACTATAGAAAGCAACAAGGAAAAGTATCCTCCATCCTTATTTCTCCTCATTTTTCTACCCTGGAGGTAAATACAACAATTCAGACTGCTGCTTTCTACGTAGTCCTCTGACCCATGGACGTTAAACATTTATTTCAAGTATGATGTTGTTCTAGAAAACAGTTCTGCAGCTTGCTTAGTTTGTTACTTAAGTTATTGGATTTCTTTTGTATATTAGTAAATATATAGTTTTATGTGACTATTTTATTTATTTATTTATTTATTTATTTATTTTTTAAAATATATTTTTATTGATTTTTTACCGAGAGGAAGGGAGAGGATAGAGAGTTAGAAACATTGATGAGAGAGAAACATCGTTCAGCTGCCTCCTGCACAGCCCCTACTGGGGATGTGCCCGCAACCAAGGTACATGCCCTTGACCGGAATCGAACCTGGGACCCTTCAGTCCACAGGCCGACGCTCTATCCACTGAGCCAAACCGGTTAGGGCTATGTGACTATTTTAATTGGCTGCAGAATACCTGCTGCCCGGGTGACCTGTCACGTCCATCAGCACTGACCTGTGCAGGGATGGCTACACTGGCTCCCATTAGGGGGAAAAAATTAGTTCATAGGTCGATGCTCAACCACTGAGCCATGCCAGCTGGGCCTGGCTCCCATTTTTTATTCTGCCAACAGTGCAGCATGAACACCTTCACTCACAGGTCTCTGTGCCCATGCTTGAGATCTTGCTGGGAAAATTCCCACAAGTGGAATTGCTGGGTCAACATGGTACATAATTACTTTTCTTGCCCCCAAAAGGTTAGACTAATTTATTCTTCCTCCAAGAACGTGTGATTTCTCTGTGTTCACCAGCCTTCGGTAGTGTCATGTTTTATTCTTTACTCATGACTCCATTCAAAGATGGGTGGCCTCCCCTAGATTTGCAGGGGTGGGGGGACAGGTACCTCAGCATTGCTGGCCCCCGAGTGTCTGGGCAGTGGAGTGGCGGGGCTTACCTTCTGGAGGTCCGTGTGCAGCTGTTTCAGCATTACTTCCAGCTGGTACACCTTGCCTGTCAGATCCAGGGGTGGCTCCTCGCTGGAAAGACAGGCGACAGGGTCAGGCTACTCTCACTCCTGAGGTTCTGGGGCGTCCTTTCCCTGCTGGTATCCCAACAGGGCCTGGAGGAGTAAGTCTGGGGGAAGCCAGAAGCCAGCTCTCTTCCTGGCCTTGCTCCACTCAGTGAGGGCACGTGTGTGGATGTGGGTGAGGCTGAAGGCTGTGCCTGTGCCTGCCCTGAAGTGTGCTTTCCCCAGAGGAGGGACCATGTATGTGCTTAGGGAGAAATCCTGCCCAAGTGTGACCAGCTCCTGTGGCATGAGACAAAGAACCCATCCCGCAGACATCCATGGAGCACACGAGGCCTGTGAGTGGACAGGACTAACGATGAGACTGAGGAGGACAACGATAGCCGCTGGCACTGGGCGCCCACCCTGCACTGCACATGGTCTCCATCTAACAGGTTCTGGCCCAACGCAGCCTGGGAGGTCACCATGTCATTACCCACCGGACAGAAGAGAAACCCAGGCTCAGGCAGGGACACTGCACCCAGGACCTTAGCCTATGGCTCCTCCTCTGCAGATTCCTCTGCCCTGGGCTTGCCTAGCCTCTTCAGGGGACAGTGGGCAGCCCCTTCCTGTAGAAGGCTCCACTTGGCCTGTGGGTCACACATATCTGGTGGGTGCTGGGGAGGGGTGGGCTGCAGCAGACGAAGGGAGCCCGGGGTCTCAGCCCAAGAAGGGGAAAGGACTCGGCCCCTCACCCTTCCCTCCCTCCGTGGTCCTGGATCTTCTGCAGGGGGAGATGGGATGCAGGTGGGAGGAGGTCAGGAGAGCACCCAGAGGTCACAGGTGCCACCAGTTCCACACCCACTCTATTCCTACCCTTTCTGTGGTGGCACCACCTGTAGCTGCCTAGTTCCTGTAATTACAGTGGGGCCACATTTGGGAGGAGGTTGAGTCGTGAAGCCACTGTGTGACACCAACAAGAAGAATCAAAATTACCCTGAAAAATCGCTTGTACTGCCCACAAGGTCCATGACTGTGGTATATAGAGTCCTGTGAGGGAAGGGCGGCTGTGCACATGTGCAATGCACTCTTTACATCCATGGACTTGCAAACATGCCATTTCCATTCTATCTCCCTCTTTAATTTTATTGTCTGCCACGACAATGCAGTCAAAGACGTTACACTAAATGTGAGATGGCAAATGTGACAGCCTGGCCCATGTCCTCCTCCCTTCCCCAGGAAGCCTCCTGAGGCAGGGTTCCTGCCTCATCGTTCCCAGGTCCCAGACAGCCCAGCAGGGACCCCCTAACTGTCGTTAGGGAGAAGATTCACATAATTTAGGAATATGCAGAGGAGGAGACCCAGAAGCCAACAGAGAGGACAATGGAGTCACAACTTAAGCAGTTTTCAAAGTTGGAAGTGCAACAATTGTGAGAACACGGATTACAGTGTCGTGTCCACCTGACCATGAGGACAGGACCCACTCTGGTTTGGTCACTGCGGGGCCCAGTGCATGGATCACTCCACAGCGTTAGATGAGGAAGCAGATGTTCCCCAGACACTGCAGACCGGGTGGTGGGGTGACCTGCAGTGGCTATCACTCACCTGGATGTCCCCAGGGAAACCTCACCTCATGGTAGGGGTGGTCCTGGGGGTTGGGGGTCCTCTCTCCAGGCTCAGGTGGCTGTGGACAGGACTGTGTGCAGGTGGCATGTCCGGGCTCAGAGCTGGGTCATTGAGAGAGAAGAGTGACACGGCTCTTTGCACTGGCGGAGAGAGAGGGGAGAGGGGTCAGCGGGGATCCTGGCTCCTCCTCACTCAATGACCCTCCCTCTGCACCTTTCGCCTGAACCTCCGCCACATTCCCAACCACACCTTTGTTAGATCACACAGGCAATGTGGATGAATTTTTGCCAAAAAATCCAATCAGATAAGGACACAACAAAACCCCATTGTGATTCTGAGCAAGTCCCTAGACCAGTGGTTCTCAACCTTCCTAATGCCGCGACCCTTTAATACAGTTCCTCATGTTGTGGTGACCCCCAATTTCATTGTTACAAATTGAACATAATTAAAGAGTGATTAATTACAGTTCCTCATGTTGTGGTGACCCCCAATTTCATTGTTACAAATTGAACATAATTAAAGCATAGTGATTAATCACAAAAACAATATGTAATCATATATGTGTTTTCCGATGGTCTTAGGCAACCCCTGTGAAAGGGTCATTTGACCCCCAAAGGGGTCTCGAACCACAGGTTGAGAACCGCTGCCCTAGACCAAAATGATCAGTTTAGACAAAATTCAAGGGAGAGAGAGACAGGTTAAATTATAGTGTGAGGAAGTAATAACCCAATTCAGAACCTGGCACATTCTTAGCATAAATGACTTGCTTTAGTCAACAAATAAGTGGCAGAAAAAAATGGCAAAAAGTGGAGTGTACTGAGTGACACAGTACATGAGGGTTCGTTATAGTCCAGTTCTAAGAATGTCTGTGAAATCACAAAAGCAAAAAGAAATGCAAAACAGAAATGCAAAATCATGTGTGCTGAAGAGAACAGAAGTCACAGGGCCGGCTGGTGCAAGTGAACAGTCACAGGGTGCTTTGCGTGGGGCCTGAGTGCTGGCAATCTTAAACAGGACTGTTGGGGGATCTTTCTGTAATGACAAGAATTGGTGAGGGTCCCGATGCACCACAGAGCGGCTGGTTCACTATTGCCAGACAAGGGGGAGAGAAGGCCCAGGAGGTGGGCCTGTGCGTGCCCTGAGGGTATAGGCAGGGCCAGGAGCAGAGGTGCACATGCTGGACATGCACTGCTACCCGCAAGGGCGGCTCCCGTCAGCTGGACATCTCACTGCTTCGAGAAGAGCACAGTAACAACCAAATACCCTTCCCTTAGATCCACCAACCGGTAATATTTTGCCACACTGACCTCCTCTCTCCTCACTCATCTGTGTCTGTATATATTTTTTCCTACTATTGATCGTAAATGGCCACCACCATGGTGCTTCACCCCTATGTAGTTCATTATACTTTTCCAAAGAATAGGACGCTCTCCTACATCATCACAACACACTGTCATACTCAAGAACTTTAACATTTGTACTCAATGGCTAACAGTTATCCTGAAATCCCCCCCCGCAACCCCCCAGTTCTCTAAACAACATCCCTATAGCTGCTGTCTTCTCTCCTGGCCTTAAAATCTATTCTCTTTGAAAATATTCTTCTGTGAACAATGTCACACATGCCCCAAAGCAGAGACAACAGCACTGTGCATCTTCATGAACCCAGCGCCCGTTCCAGCAACTCAACATACCCTGGCTTCCTCCCTGCCTGTCCTTTGCTTCTATTCACCAGATTACTCCTTTCCTTCCCACCTTATAAATAGCTTCTTGAGGCTTAACTGACATACAACAGACTGCAAATGTTGAAAAGTGTACAATTTTCCTAGGTGCCTTTGTTGGCAGAGCCTCAGTTTCCTCGTCTGTAAATGGGAATCAGAATACATCCCTCAGACGAGACCAGAAGAGATGCTGCTTGTGAAGTGAGGAAGTGCTGGCTGCATCTTGCCTTCAGGAAGCACCACTAAGCAACCCTTCCTACCCCTGCACGTTCCAGGCCTCCAGAGGGCCACACCCATCAGCAGTGTTGGGGTTCTGCCTGGCAGCCATTCTCCAGGGGAAGGCTGAGGTAGACCAGAGGCAGGGCCTCGTATGCTCTAACCCAGCCGTGGGCAAACTACGGCCCGCGGGCCGGATCCGGCCCGTTTGAAATGAATAAAACTAAAAATAAAAAAAGACCGTACCCTTTTATGTAATGATGTTTACTTTGAATTTATATTAGTTCACACAAACACTCCATCCATGCTTTTGTTCCGGCCCTCCGGTCCAGTTTAAGAACCCATTGTGGCCCTCGAGTCAAAAAGTTTGCCCACCCCTGCTCTAACCACTCTCCTTCTCACCCCAACCTCAGGCCTGACTGCCTTTATCTTGTGGCCAGCGGAGGCTGCAGGATGGGATGGAAGCAATGGGCAGAAGGAATGAGGAAGGATGTTTCCTCTAGGGCCACCTGCCAGAGTGGACTGGCTCAACCATGGAAAAATGAAGGATGTGTATTATATGGGTCTGGTTTAGCAGATCTGTGCTGGGCACCCAGTAGTGACTGCCCTCGGGTCCTGCCCTCCTGACCTAGTTGGGAAACATACCCATCATTAGAGAGCGACGGCTCAGAGTGGTCAGGGCACAGGCAGAGGGGTCAGGGCTGTGGGAGCTCAGAGGAGGTGCCTGATGTAGACTAGGGGATACCAAGGAGGGTTTCTTGGAGGAGGGACAACTAAGCTGTGGCCTAAAACAAGCATGTCAAACTTGCGGTCCATGGGCTGCATGCGGCCCACAAGGAATATTTTTGCGGCCCAACCAATATAACGGTATGTAAGAAATGTTTTAATAAAAACTTCGTAACTTAATTTTTATAATATCCTGTTATACATAATTATTAATAACAAACTACAACGTTTGCTAATGACTGATTACTATAATCGTGTTGCATTCATTTCTCTCCACTTAATACTGGCAGTGAATATTTTAGCGGCTGACGTCATTAGTCTTGGACTGACTTGTTTGGTATGCACAACAGGAAATATTTCACTTTTGGAGAACAAAAAAAGTAGGTTTATTTGTGTTATGCTTATTAATTTGTGTAGTTATTCAGTGTCTGGTAAGTTAATGTTCAAGAAAAAATATTTTTTATTCATCAAATGTTCTATTATTTTATGTTAACGATTACTCATTTATTTCAGCCCTTTGTATTCTATTGAAATAAACCTATGTTTCTATGAAAACTGAAGCTTCTGTTTTTTTGTGGCCCACATAAACTTAAACCTTGTTTATTTGGCCCGTGTTAGCCTTTGAGTTTGACATGCTTGGCCTAAAAGATAAAAAAATGAGCCAGAAGAATATGGTTGTGTCTGTCAGGGATCACCATGAGAACCCATGAGGAAATGGAGGCATCCTAATATATATAAAAAGCCAGGTGCCATCACAACTGGATGGACGACCAAACAGCAGGCTAGGGAGCTGAGGGAGTGGGAGCTGTGGGCCCAAATGACCAAAGGACCGGTCTGGCTCTCACAGCATGGCAGGGCAGGGTCGCGGAAGCTGAGGAGCCTTGCGGGGTGGGGGTCTGTGAGCATGGAGCTTCCCAGGGTGGCTGAGACGGAGGAGCATCGCGGGCAGGGGGGATGCGAGGCAGAGGAGCAGGGCGGGAGCTGTGAGTATGGAGCTTTGCAGGGCATTGAGGTGAAGGAGCATTGTGGCGGTGCCTGAGGCCGAGGAGCCTCGCGGGGTGGGGGCTGTTAGCGTGGAGCTTCGTGGGGTGGCTGAGGTGGAGGAGCGTTGCGGGGCAGTGGAGGTGGGGCAAGGGCTGTGAGCGTGGAGCTTTGTTGGGCTGCTGAGGCGGAAGAGCATTGCAGGGCGTGGGCAGGAGTGAGGTCGAGGAGCCTCGCAGGGCGGTGGCTGTGAGCATGGAGGTTCATGGGGCAGGGGCCACAGAGGTGGAGGAGTGACGCTGGGCGGCAGACATGGCCCTGATTGCAGGTAGACCTAGGGATCCTAACCACGATTTAATCGTGCGCTGGGCCTCTAGTAGAAAGATAAAGCCGCTTGCCCAAGGTCACACAGGAAGGAAATGGCAGAGATTGCTAGCTGTCCATCATGATCAGTTTTCCCTTTCTCCATAATAACATATTCCAAATTTCAGCTGGACACATGGTCTCATTTCCCAGCCTGCCTTGCAACTAGACGTGGCCATGTGTGACATTCTGGCCAATGGAAATAAGCACAGGAGAAGTGTGAGGCGTTGGGAAGTGCCCTTATAGGGAGGACATGTGTCCTTCTCTCTCCTGCTCAAAGTTGAACATCATGGTCAGAACCCTAGCAGCCTCACTGTGGGGGTGAAAAGCCTGTGCCCTCAGGCATTTGTGGAAGTGCCATGCCAGCCCACCCAATAATTTTTCCCTGTGCAAAACCAGGCATGTTTAAGTCATTATTAATTTGGATTTTTTGCCACTTGCAGCCGAAGCAAATCTAGACACAATTTGGATTGCTACAGTTTTGCCCTACAGTAATAATATAAGGTATTGTCTGTTGAGGGCTTGTTCTGTGCCTGACATGTTTTACATAAGTTTCATGTAATGCTCACTGCAGCCTCAGGTCATGGGCACAGTCACGTCCCTAATCTGCAGCTAAGGTAACCGGATCAGAAAGATGAAGACATTTGGCTAGGACTGCACAGCAAGCAAGCGACAGGGGAAGGATGTGAACCCTGTTCCACCTGATTCTGGAACCTGAGTGTGTCCCCTTTCAAAACTCCAAAGCCCTCTGTTGATCCTTTTAGGGCACAGCAGAGGGTAGGACAGTGATGGCGAACCTATGACATGCGTGTCAGAGGTGACACGCGAACTCATTTTTTTGGTTAATTTTTTTTTGTTAAATGGCATTTAAATATATAAAATAAATATCAAAAATATAAGTCTTTGTTTTACTATGGTTGCAAATACCAAAAAATTTCGATATGTGACACGGCACCAGAGTTAAGTTAGGGTTTTTCAAAATGCTGACATACCGAGCTCAAAAGGTTCGCCATCACTGGGGTCGGATCTGGTGGGGTTGGGTGGAGGATACCTACCTTCGTACGCCTTGGCTGCATTTACCAGGCTGGACCACTCAAGGCCAGCAGCTGTGTCAGGCAGTGGCATCATCCCAGGGTCTAGGCGTCGAAGTGGCCGGTCCCGTCCATCAGCCAGTGAGAGCTCAGAGGCTGAGATGGTGGCTGGGTGGGGAGAACAGAGATAGGGAGGTGGGTATGTATGATAACGTGGGAGAAACAAAGAAATTAATATATTGTTATACTTTATATATAATTATGCAAAATTATGTAACTGTTATGACATTATACATAATTAAATAAACGCCATATTTATTAGATGATAAATGCCATGGAAACAATCCAGCAGGGAAGGGGGTGGGAGTGTTGGGTAACTCCGTGGGTACAATTTTAAACAGGGTGCTAGGGGAGGCCTCTCTGAGAAGATGGCATTTGTAAAAGCTCTGAAGGAGAGGAGGGACTGAGCCAGGGGTTACAGGAGGGAAGAGTATCCAGGCAGATAGAACAGCCAGTACAAAATTCCCAAGGCAGGAATGTGCCTGTGGGTTTAAGGAACACTGGGGCGGCCATGTGGCTGGGACAGAGGAAAAGGGGGAGAGAGAGAGTAGTGGGAATAGCTGTTTTTCAGTATTTACTACATGCTAGGCATTGTGCTAGTGTTTTCTATGTATTAACTTGTTTGATTCTCAGGTTAACACAGTGAGGTAGGCACTATTGTTGCTCCCATTTCACTATCACAGAAACTGAGGCACCAGAGAAGTGAAGTCAGAGAGGTGGCAGGGCTGGACTGCGTGGGGCCTTGTGGGCCATGATGAGGACTTTGTCTCCTAGTGAGATGGAGCCACAGAAGGGCTTTGAGCAGAGAGAGATGTGATCCAATGCAGTGTTCACAGGGACCTTCTGGCTTTGTTTGGGGCATAGATGGTGGAGGGGCCTCGAGGAGCAGGGAGACAGTAAGGAGGCCACTGCAATGGCCCAGGAGGGAGACGAGAGTGGAGGACGATTGGGAGATCCTTGCTCTCTCTTGTAGGTGAAGCCAACAGTATTTCCTGAAAGGGGATGTGGGTGTACGGCAGAGACGGATCCACGGTGACGTCAAGATGCTGGAGTTGGTGCTGAGATGGGAAGGCTGCGGGGAGCAGAAGTTTGTTGCTGGGGGTGTGGGGTGTGAGCTACCATTAGACTCCCACAAGAAGCCAGTGGCTGGTGGCTGGCTATGGAGTGTGGGGTGGAGGAGAGGTGACAGGCTGCAGGTATAAAGGGTTGCCAGTGTCTGGACAGTATTTGCTGTGGCAGAGTCACTGTCGGGAGACCTGGGGGCTCGAGTGGGGAAAGTGACCCCTGAAGTCTCAGGGTGCTGGAGTGACAGACAGCACAAGAGTCGCATCAGCAGCTGCATTTGCTACAGCCACTAAGCGAGTCCGATGCCTCATAGCCCATAAAGGGGATGGGACAGAGGAGGACAGCAAGGCACCGAGAGGTCAGGAGGTGACTCAGGCAGGGCCAGACCTGGCTGAACCAGGGCTGCTGTGTTCCCTGAGTGCACCCTCTTTTTGGGCACCATGCTGGGTACTATGGGGCTCATCTCACAGCTTCACCTCCAATTAGTCAGGAGGGAGGTGTCATTATGACCCATGTGCAGGGGGACATTGAAGCTCAAAGCAAGAAGTTGTCTTGCCCGTGGTTACACTTGCCGGTGGTCTGACACTGACCCTGTTCCAAGCCCAAGCCCACATGGCTTTGGTGGTAAGGTTGTTGACATTGCTTTAACCCTGTTCTCCAGTGCTCGTGCATTAAGCTGACTCATGGTGGATTACAACGCTTGCTCCAAATGATAGAATACTCACAGAAACAATGAACAGCTGTTTTTTCAGTGTTTACTATATGCTAGGCATTGTGCTAGCATTTTCCACTATTAACTTGTTTGACTCTCAGATTAATACAGTGAGGTGGGCAGTATTTTTGCTTACTTTTTTTTTTTTTTTACAACTACGGTTGTCATTTGAGAATCACATTGGAGACTTAAATGCCTAGCCGCCCCCCCCCCCCAAAAAACAACACACAAAAACACACACACACACACACAACCAAACAAAACCCTAAAGATTTTTCTCCGAGGTCCTGACAACTGGACCCAGCCTCTCCCACCCTTGGGAGCCGAAGAAACCCTGAAGTGTGGGGGACTGAGGAAGAGGGTTTCGCTTGGGGGGTGACTAAGGCTGGGCTAAGGAGAGGAGAGCCTGCGGTGGAGCTGTGGTTGGGGGATGTGGGTTTTGTGGCTGAACTTGAAGGTCAGATAGGAAACTAGAATCAGGGCTGACAGGCGGGGTGGAGTTTATAGGTCCAGGAGGGCCTTGGGGAGCCAAGGAGCTGATAGGGCTGGAGAAAGTTTGCTCACATTTTACTATCATGGAAACTGAGGCACAGAGCGGTTACTTCTGTGAGTGGAGACCTGCCACAAACTCAGGCGCATTTGCCCAGTGGACGTTCAGGGAATGACAAAGGCCTGGAAGGAAGCTGGGCCCCTGACCACCATGCTCTGCATCTCCAGCCTGCAGGCATTTCACTGCTGAGCTGGTGGGGGCCGCAGGAGCAGCTGCCACTGCCCAGTGAGAAATCAGCAGGTGCTGTTGTGAGAGGCTTCTTAGCAAGGAGGGTCCTTGATTAGTGAACCCGAGGTGGGCCAACCCCTTGACATGGCTTGGAAAGAGCTCTTGAGCAGGCTTGGGAGAGGCGGAGGCCCAGATGCCATGGCCAGGCTGAGGCCAGATGGCAATCTCCCTGACTAAGGGGGACGGGTGTCATGTGGGCGAAGAGAGGTATACCTGTGTGCCTCTGAGGTCCTCTAGTGTGGAACACTAAGTTTATATGACTTAGTCCCTGCTCTTAGGAAGCCTCCAGTCTGGCGAGGGAAACAGACCCATCCCCACATGACAACCACAGTGAATGGGGCTGTGATGGGGAAATGAAAGGCAGAGGGATTGGGAATGGGATGGGAGCACCCCAAGGTGCAGTGGGGGCCATGAGGAGTGCCTGACTCATCCTGGAGGCAGCAGCGTCTGAGCTGAGACTGACAGGGTGTGGCAGAGCTGGTCAGAGGCATTCAAACCTGTCTTCTGTGTTCTCTGTGCATACGACCTCTGCCTTGGCCCTCTCTCACCTTCTCCTCAGTATGTGTTGAATGCCAACCGTGTGCCAGACAAGGTAGTAAGGATGAAAGACAAAGGAGGGAGGCAGAGGGAGGGTTAGGGAAGCTTGAGGAATTCCCCCTGAAACTCAGCCCCACTGGGGCAGGAATGTTCTTTGACGTGCTTGTCACTGCATGCCCAGCGCCTAGAGCAGAGCCTGGCCCACAGCACGTGGAATGAAGGTAATGAGGGGCTGGGCCGGTGCCCTGAGAGGAAGTCAGGGAGATGGGCCAGCCTGGGGCTGGGGAAGACACCTAGGAAAGAGCAATGACTGAACAAAGCCCTTAGGAGAAGCAGGAGTTTCAAGAGCAGGGTTGGGAGAATGGCATGACAGGCAGAGGGAACAGACATGTGGAATGCCCTGAGGAGGAAAGGTCTGGTGGCCTGGAGGATCTCAAGACGGGTACTGTGAAGTGGAGGAGCTGAGATTGGGCCCCAAAACATAAGAGTATGGATCCAGACACTATGGCAGTGGGGAACCAAGAGAATTCTAAGTGGAGAAACAGACCCTTTCAAAAAAATCCCAGAGCCTCCTCCATCCACTCTGTGTGTACAAGAGGCTCCATCAATGATATGGGACATAGGCCTTCAGCCAAAACCCTTGGGGAAAACACACCTCTGTCCAGACCTGTCTGGACTTGGGAGGCTGTGCTACATATGACGCAGCCCCAGGGAGCAGGTGGTGCTCTGCAACGAAGCAGCATCTTTCCGACTAAGCGGGGTGATCGAGGATCATCAAGAGCCTCATGTGCACTGTGTTGGGTTGTGCTGATAGTGAGCCTGGCCCTACCCTCTCCCCTCCCTTCAGTTTCAGAGCCTTTGGGTGTGGAAAGTGATCTGAAGGTAGACCAAAGGCTTTTTGATGGGGGACGCTCAGTAAATATTTGCTGGATGAATAGAGGATGGATGAGCTCCTCTGGCACTCCCTCCCTCCCTGGCAGACCTGGGGGAGTCAGGTAGGTAAAGCCATGATCACTAGGTAATCTGTTTGAAGCTGGAACAGGTAACAGGGCTGGAGGTCAGCTGATGCCAACCCCTGATCCTCAGGACCCCAGCCAACTACACCTGGCGAGACTGATCTCCCATTTCTGGTGTCAGATGACCCCAGTCCTTGGGTGCTCCAGATTCCAGGGTGACCCCCTGGAAATCCTCAGTCTTGGCCAATAATCCCTTGCTTCCTGGGTGACACTGTGCCTACCCATCAGGCCCCCTTGAAGTTCATGTGTAGCCCAGTTCCCTCCCTCAGCTGACTCCAATGACCTCTTGCCTCTGACCTCCAGGTAACCCACAGGTGACCTCCAAGCCCTGTCCCTCTTGCTTTCCAACCATGGGGTAACTCCCCTGACAGCCCCAAGGTACCCACACTCACATGTCTTCTCTGGGAAGCCATTGCCAGGGGCAGGGATGGTGCTGGGGCTGCTGCTGCCTGGCAGATGAGAGTGCTGGTGCTGGCGGCGGGCGGGCAGCGTGCTGGAGGGGAAGACGCAGGTGCTGGTGAAGAGCACGTCACTAGGCAGGGCCGCCTCCAGGCTGGCGGAGTTGGCAAAGCTGGGCTCACGCCGCCCGCTGCATAGACTCTCGTCAGACAGTGTCCGCTGAAGACTCTTCTGTGGCGACTGCTGCTGAGATAGGGGAGGGACACAGGGCATGGTTGTGGCTGGCCCATGGTCACCGTTCTCAGAAGTGCCTTCCTGTCCTGGACATCTGTGGCTCTTACCCACCCAGCATCCATTTTTGCCCCTTTCTGATCAAAGCACCCCAGTTTCCCCCTGAGGATTCCTCCTCCACCACTTGGAGACCACTCAGTTCTGCCCTCCAGCTCCAGGTAAGGTTAGGGAAGGTGGTGTGGCCTGAGCTGGACCAATGAGAATGGGTCACTGCTGGGGACCACTGGGGACAGAGCGCTGCCTTCCCTAGTGCTGTGGGATACACCCTCTCCATCCCCGCAAGAGAGTGCATGCCTGAGAGCAAGACCAGTCAGGGGTAGGCGGGGACAATGGGGGGTGTAGAGGGACCAAGGACAACTGCGGTTTTGGTCCCTGGGAACCCTGCCTCCACTTTTAGTGCCCGAGGTTGGGCTCCATGAGGCCTCTGAGAACTTCCCTGTCACGTGAGGTCCTCTAGTGTGGAACAAATCCCTGCCTGCCCACCAGGCTGGTTTACACCGTGCCTTTGGCCTGACTGATGATTTGATGTCCCGAATCCCTGCCACAAAGCCACATACACCCAAACGGGGCTGGCAGGGGTCAAAGGCCAAGGACCTGCAGGAAGAGGCTGGAGTGGCCATGGGAGGTAGGTTCTCTGCCCTCACCCTCCCTCACAGCCCACTTCGTACTCCTGCATCTCTCTCCTGGTCTGGCGCCAGGTTGTCCATGATGATGAGCTTCTTCAGGTCATCCTCGATGGTGGACTTATAGTTCTTCCGTGGGGAGTGGAGGTCGCGGAGGGATGCTCTCAACCGTGGCTGCCCAAAGACGTTTTTCGTATTGGTGTCCACCTGCCTGGAACAAGAGATCAGAGTTAGCAGGGTCTTGGGGAGGCGGGAGCTGTGTCTCAAAGCTGTCCTAACTCGAGAAGGCCCGACGCCACTGGGCGAGTGACCGCAGCCTTCTCTATCTCACCTGGCATGACAGGAGACCTCGTTTGTTCTCCATTCACTCACCCCACAAATACTTCCCAGGGACCTACTCTGCGCCAACCTGCTGCAGAAGGAACGCAGCAGTGAGCATGGAGCCGCCCTTCAGTCAGGAAGCCTGACAATGAGCAAACAGAGAGATCCCAGAATGTGCGGTAGAAAGAGGTGTCAGAAGCAAATAAAGCTGGGTAAATGGACAGGATGACGGGATGGAGAATGGCTTTTCTGAGGGGTGGCATGGGAACAAGAGTGGTGAGTCTGAGGACTGGAAGGGTGGAGTGGGGAGGGCAGTGTGGTGGGAGGTGAGGTCTGGGTGGGGGCAGAACAGACTGCACGGGACTCATGAGCCACTGTGGGGACTTGGAGGCATGTGGGGAGGCTCTGCAGTTCTGAGCTGGTGAGTGTGGGGTCCTGATTTGCCTTTTAGAATTGCTCTGGTTGTTGAACATAAAAGTGACCTTCACAGAGGTGGGGACAAGAGGGGAAGCAGGGAGACAGCGAGGAAGCTCCTGCAGGTGAGATGAAAGTGGCCCAGACCAGGACTTCCAGCCACAGAAGAGGAATGAGACCTCACAGAGGGAGAACCCCTGGGCGACTGGTCTCTAGCAGTCAGTGCCAGGCCACAGGCAGCAGATCTCTGGCCTGGGTGCTCTAGGAGCTGTCATCAGCTCTCCTAGCCTGTTTCCTCATCCTTACATGGGGTAAGGGAGCTCATACACTGTGAGGTAACAGGGTCCAGAGATGAGGCTCCTGTAACCTGGGCAGGGGCCTGGAGCCCCTGACTTTCCCATCTCCGCTTTTCTACTCTGCCTTTCATTCCAGAAGTCGGTCCGTGAGCTCGAGTCACTGATCACTGCCCAAAGCTGACCCCATACTGCCTTCCAGAACACTCTGTGGTCTAAAAGCCACTGAAGCACAGTCTAGGTTAAAGGCAGGAGCCCTGGAGACGCAGGCTTGGAGTTGAGTCCTGACTGCTTGTTCTTTCTGTGGGACCCTGGGCAAGTCACACCATCATTCTGATCCTCAGGTTGCTCACCAGGAAAACATGCTGACCTTATGGAATTGTAGAGTTTGCTGCAAAGCACTTGTGGGCATTTGACCCAGAGCGATGCTTGGGAAAATGAGGGCTGCCCTTGGAACAGTTTATCTGGCTGACCAACACCTTGAGCTGCTCCCTTATCCCCTCTGCTGGCTCCACAGGCCACTACTAGATAGTGCCCTTAGCCCTACCCTGGGTTTTGGGGTCATTGCTCTTCGGACTTCCCCTGAGGCCTCCTCCTGCCTTCTGATTCTAGCCCAGCCTTTGGGTTCAAGTCTTATTTCCCTGGTGAAAACTGGGCCTCTGACCTGAGGTGTCGCTAGGAGAGAAGAAGCAACAGCTACCAGGAGCAGTCTTCACCGTGCAGCAGGCACCATCCCCCATCCCGAGGACTCCCTGTGTGCTGTTAAACTTGCACGGCAGCCCTCCCTGGGAGCCACTGTTACTATCACCCCCTTCAACAGATGGGAAACTGAGGCACAGAGAGGTAAAGTAACTATACAGTGCTTGTCTGGTGAGTGGAGGAGTCAGGATCCCTGCCAAGGCCACCAGGTTGCAGAGCCTATAGGTGTCACTGCCATGTTTATATCACAAAAATGGCATGCAAATGACACACATTTGTGGCACATAGTCACATTTGGTTTTAAAATATACTTTCATATGCAGAAAAAAATTCTGGAAGAAATGATGAACCATGATTACTTCTGGGAAATGGGAAAATAAACTTTTCATCTGATGCCTTTCTGTCTGAATTTATTTTACCATTAGAAACCCAGTGCACAAATTCATGCATGAATGGGGTCCAGCTGGCCCCAATTGGGGCAGGTCAGGGCCGGGAGGCTGGGAGGAGGGGCCACTGGCAATTGGCCGGCGGGCCCCGCCCCTGATTGGGGTGGGGGGGCTGATTTTGGGCAGGGCTGGCTATGGGGAGGGGCTGTGGGCCAACCAGCCTTGCCCCTGAATGGGGTGGGGGCAATGATTGGGTGTGGCAGCAGCTGGGGGGAGGCGGGGGGAGGGAGGAGCTGCAGGTGGTTGGCTGGCCCTGATTGGGGTG